TATGATTCCATTTGTATGAAATGTCCAGAACAGGCAAATCCAGTAAAATCTCGATATAACAGACTAATTCAGGCGAGGAGGTATCCGTTAAAGCCAAAATTCTGTTATATAATTAAGTAGGTTTTTCCAAATGTGTATGTTAAAAAATTGACAAAATAGTTTACCTGTTTTAACTTAAGTAGATACATTTGTGTAATTAAAATTAAATATGTATGAAAAGCTTAATTTCACAGAAAAGTTTTCTGTATGCATTCCTGTAATTTTAAACTTATACTGAGGTCTAGTAAATGCCTGCATTCACCAATCACTGCGAGTAAACAAATGCACATGACTTAGCGACATCACGCATTAAAACTGCTGCAGAAAGTCACGTCACACGACAACGGAACAAATTACCCAGCGTAATGTGGTGTGATCACGTACTAATCATTTGCTGAACATTGTTTAGGAGCAGTGACTCTTGGATTTAAATATGTAGACTATAGTTGCCAATCCTATATAATAAAAGCCTAATATGCAAATTGTCCCCTCGACCAGGAGTTCGACCACTCACTATGATAGTGATGGCGAACCTATGACACGCGTTGTCAGAGGTGACACGCGAACTCATTTTTTTGGTTGATTTTTCTTTGTGAAATGGCATTTAAATATATAAAATAAATATCAAAAATATAAGTCTTTGTTTTACTATGGTTGCAAATATCAAAAAATTTCTATATGTGACACGGCACCAGAGTTAAGTTAGGGTTTTTCAAAATGCTGACACGCCGAGCTCAAAAGGTTCGCCATCACTGCACTATGATGTGCACTGACCACCAGGGGGGCGGCGTGGAACATGGTGGGTGTAGGGGGCAACAAGGCACTTGCAGTGGGCAGCGGTGGAAGTGCTGCCGGCCCAGTGGGCCCCGTCGAGAGTGAGCGGGACCACGGCGAGATGGTGGAGCAGGTGAGTGGGCAGCGCCAGACCAATCGCATCTGCCTTGGCCTGGTGCTGCCCGCTCAACTGCCCCATCATCATGCCATAGCCCGCCCTGCATCTGCATGGCCTCTTCCGGGTGAGCCAGGCTGCAGCTGACAGGACCGCAGGGGCCGGTCGGGCTCCCCGTGGGTTCACACAGGTGCCGGTCTGGGACGCCAGCCGGGAGTGAGCACGCTACCTGCCCGGCTTCCGTGTGGTGCTGCTGGGCAGCCCAGAGGCCCATGCTGCACCCCAGCCCGCGGCATCTGGCCGCGCTCACCACGTATCTCTGCGTGGGGACTTGGGTACCATGACTCAGGTGGAGGGGGGCGCGGAGGCCCAGGTGCTGCCCAGAGCCCAGAGGTCAGCTGGGACCTGCCCTTCCATGCCAGATGCTTGCACTTCAATCACTGGCCAGGCCTAGGAACCATCCCCATGCACGAATTTCATGGACTGGGCATCTAGTATGTAATATTTATTTATGTTGGCGAAATTACTAGTGTTTTTTCTAACATATGGCCTATTCGCTAAACTTTGTTAAAAATAATAGTGAATTAATAACAAAAAAATAACCTGTTAATGTAATTATAAATAAATCTTGGTTTAAAGCATTTTAAAATTAACAGGGTGTTAATTTAAAAAAATTTTTTTAATTGATTTTAGAGAGAGAGGAAGGGAGAGTGAGAGAGGGATAGAAACATCAATGATGAGAGAAAATCATTGATTGGCTGACTTCTGTACGTCCCACACTGGGGATCAAGCCCACAACCCAGGCATGTGCCCTGACTAGGAATCTAACCGTGAAACCTCCTGGTTCATGGGTCAACACTCAACCACTGAGCCACTCCAGCTGGGTGACAGGGTGTTAATTTTCACATATGACATATGGACCTGAAATTTTGTCCTTTAAATCTGAAGTCCATTAACTCAAGGTCCACAAAATCGAGTGTTTAATGTAAGTAGATTAGGTCACTGAAGTTGAACCTTCTCTGAAGAGAACAGCTGCCTCTACTTGTCTATCACCTACTCGCTCCTGACGCCCTTCTGGTTTATTCAGCCTTAGACTCACTTATCCGACTGCTGTCAGCTGTCAACCTCCTAATGCCAGATCCCCAACCCCTTTCATGGCCGGTCATCCTTGCTGTCCTCCGCAGCACTGTCTCCATCACCCATGAACCAGTCTTCAAAAGGCTCACCTCCCATCAGTTATGACCCTCCCCTCACCTGATCTGACACCCGGTTCCATCTCCTTCCACTTCTATCCTCAACTCAACAGTCACTACTCCTCCATCTCCATCCCCAGGTTTGACCTTCTCCTGATATCTGCCTCCCATCTCCTAGTGCAGTGGTTCCCAAACTTATTTGGCCTACCGCCCCCTTTCCAGAAAAAATATTACTCAGCCCCTGGAAATTAATTTTTTTTTAAATTTTAATAGCAGTTACTCATCGCCCCCAAATGCACCTGTGGCCATCACCGCCCCCCTGGATCGCTGCAGCGCCTACCGGGGGGCGGTAGCGCCCACTTTGGGAATCACTGTCCTAGTGGATGATCCCCATGAATCTTAACTTCAGCCCATTTAAGACAAATTTTCATCTCCTCGAACCAGCTCTTCCTACTGGCTTCTGAACTCTCCCAATGCCCGGATCAAAGCCTTGTTGGGATCTTAGAATTCCATCTCTGCTCTGTCTTCAGGGACACGCCTTCTGAGGGCACGTCCCGTCACATCTAACAACTTGCAAAACAGCTACTTCTTATCCATGTCCCATCACCCTCTTAGTATTACCTCACACCTCGATGGCTGCAGTTCCCTCCTAATTGGCTTCCCTGATTCCAATCTTCCTTGCCCATCACCACAGTTGAATTTCCTTAAAATCCATGATTAATGTGCCATCACCCCACTTGAAAACCCTCCCTACATTCCACAAACCATCTATGTCTGGTATGGAGGCTCCCCACAATCTGGCTCCAACTCACCTTTCACAACATACCTTCTACTATTTCCTTACACATACCATATAGTCCAATAAATTACTCGTAATCGTTGATTTTATCATTCTCCTTTCACATTTTTATCATGCTGCTTCCGCCACCCATCCTTTTGGGTCAAGCAAAATAAAACCTCTACAACTGTGCCTTTCCTTATCCCAGGGGAAGACGGTCCTGCCTTTGTCTTTCCAGAAGACCTGGCTTATCATGAAGCGTGAGGCCCTGTCTCAATAGACACACCTACCACAAAGGTAGTGCTGTAGACACCCTAGCATAAGAGGCCTGGTTGGCCTGTGACCACAGAGCATTCGGCAGTAGGACAAGGCCCTGGAGATCAACTAACACACATGCTTTGTTGGGCCACTGTTTAAAAATCTGGGTACTACACACAAAAATCCATCCTTGGGCATTTCTTAAGATGCTGCTCTCTCTTCTGAGACTCCTCACTTGCCTACTCAGTCTAAATTTGGTTACCAGTCACTCTCTATAACATGGACCCGTTTTATTTTCATAGAGCCATGACACAACAGTCATTTATTTTATTTGTTCAGCTTGTTTCCTCCCTCAAGAACTAAAGTTTCTGGAAAGAGAAGAGACTTTGAATGTCTTGTTCAAAGTTATTCAGCTATCCTCCGCACTTTGTCCTCATAGGGGTACTCAGAAGCCACTCAAGAGATGTGCTTAATGACTGAATGGATATGGCCTCCTTGGGCCCATACGCTTGTGGACTGTAGCAGGGCCGACAATGCCAAAGGATTCTGCTCACCTGCCTGCCTTTCCTAGAGCAGGTATGAGCTCTCAAGGTTGCAAGCATCCCCTCTCCCCCACCACACACATACAACAGTGTATGTATCTATACCCAGTCTCTTCCTCATCTGATTGGCTCCCAATTTAACCCAACCTCAAGGACTGTGTCTGGTACAACTTAGAATCCTGCCCAGTCCAAGGTCCTGAATTCATTCAGGCATTCCACAAATATTTAGTTCTAGGCGCAAGAAATACAGCGTGAACAAAACAAAGGCCCTTGCCCTTGTAGTGCTGAGGTTCTGGAGGTGGAATTGGGGTACGTTCAGGGATGTTTGTACTCGCAGACCACTGGCCTTCAGCCTGCCCAACCCATCTTGTCCTCCAAGGCCCAGGTGAAGGGCCACTTCCTTGGTGTAGTTTTCCTGGTAAGCCAGCCTTCATCAAGCTCCTCAGTGCTAACTTTCACTTATTGCTCTGTGCAACTGTGAGCTGTTCTATACTCAGCACTGCAGTTTTATTGTTAATTCATCTCAGGTTCCATGAGGCCATAAAATTGTCTTTCCTATCTTTCATGTTCCCTAACAGCTCAAAAACCACAGCAGGCATTTTAATACTTGTTGACCAATTAAAGACAGGGAGCCACTTTTCCCCAAATCTGGAATGGAGACCTATGAAGCCACTGAACTGCTGTGGTAGCTTCCAGAATGTACAATTTACTCAGAAATCTACAGAGATAAAGTTAATTCTTAACCACTAGGTAATTTAACACATTACAGATTAAGACAAGGAGGGATCGATTATGGAATGGGAATGCAAAATGGACATAAATTTCTATGTGTGAGCCCACTGGTAGGCAGCTTCAGGCATACTTTTTGTGTGCTGTGTGGCCTTGGGTAAATTAATAAAATGCCTTGGGCCTAAATTTCACGATCCATGAGAGGGGATGAGAGTAGTATAATGGTAGTCTCGACCTGTTAAGAATTGAGAACATTAATGTTTATGGTATTTAACAGAATACC